TGTTACCAAGGGGGGTAGGTGAGATGACAAAAAATCGATAGCGCGCGCGCATTAAAAGACAAAGACAAGACACCATTTAGTATTTCCTTCATTTATTAGAGTTGTTAGCCTGTGATCTTACTTTGCAAACTACCATCGCCAATTTTACGCTAATTTACAGTAATTTTCTTACCGTAATTTGTTTTCAAATAGCCCGAGACTACGATTACAAAATACAACCTACACTACTATAGTTCAGGGTCAACTAAAAAAACAAGTTTTCCAAGTACTGAAGATTAAAATCGGCTCCTCTTCTCTTGGCTCCTTGACATTCAAAGTGTTAATAAGCTGTTTTTCTTGAGTGTTCGTACAGGTTAAATGTCCATTTAACGATCTGAACTTTGAAAACGTTTTTCAAACTCTTCAGTATTTGAATTTTCATTTCTTCTAGCAGTTAAATGCTTATTTTCTTTGGCTTTTTTGCTAAAATTTACAAGCAATTCTCCTTTCTTGTTGAACAAGTGCGATAAACCAGTTGTATGCCAGCCTGTACAGATCTGTCATTACCTGTCAAAACTGGACCAATCAGATAGCCATAGGTCGCGCTTTTAGCCAATCATCGCATAGATCAAATTTGTTTGCGTGAGTTTGACGACAGACGCGCGCTCTTTTTGTAAACCAATCTTCTTTTTTTGAAATTTTACGCTATTTCTTTCGCAAAAATCTATTATATAAAGCCTACGGCTCGTGATTTCTATAACTTTTCTCGTGTCCTACAGCTCCGGTCGTGTTTTATCAGAGAACAGAACATAATTAAGCCTGATCTATTTGTTAATTATCAGTTAGACGACATAAAAGCGCGCGCCCATGGCGATATAGACGCACGAGAGAAAATATAAAGAACGATTAACAAGCGAAAGAGTGGCACGAGGCGAAGCTGAGTGACACTCTAGCTTGTTAAGAGTTCTTTATATTTTCTCAAGTGCGTCTATATCGCCGTGGGCGAGCGCTTTTTTGTCGTCTAACTGATTTATTATATGGCCAAAAATCTACCGTGCGACCCATGGGCAAATAGTTATTTTACAATAACTTACAAATTTCTCGCGCGCTGATTGTTTATTTTTTATCATCAATAAGAGGACAGACAAATAAAGCTGACGTCAACGAGCGCGCACTCTTTCCGTTGGTTGTTTTGATCGCTAAAAATGAGGAGTTTTTATCGTTTTTGTTATTGTAAAAAACCAATTGACATCAGATTTTTATGTGTCTGTCCTCTTATTGACAATAAATTTCGCCATCACATTGTCAAAGTAGTATGCGGATCCACTCGGCTACGCCTCGTGGATCCACACTACTTTGACAATGTGATGACGCAATTTATTGTCAATAAGAGGACAGACACATAAAAATCTGATGTCAATTTGTTAAATAGCATTTCAGCCAATCAGAGCGTTCGTTATATCACCCATCTCGCTCGTGCGCACGCTATTGACGCCATCGGGTTTGAAAATTTAGAGAAAAGGCGAGCGTCCGTTGAGATCAGCGTGCGCGAGCGTGCGGCCTATGGGGAAGTAGTTCATTGCTTTTTGGCCAATCAGAGCGCGCGTAATAATCTAGTTATATTAATTGGAACCGGTCAGTATGTCCTTAGCTTATGATTTCGTCAATAAGTATTTATGGTTGTCACCTATCAAGGATGCATTGAAGTAAAACTTTCATCCAATGGAACGTAGCTATTAATTTAACAAATAGACATCATTTTTTTATGAGTCTGTCCTCTTATTGACGATAAATTGCGTCATCACATTGTCAAAGTAGTGTGGATCCACGAGGCGTTGTCTATTTGTTTTTTACAATAACAAAAACGATAAAAAACTTCTCATGTTTAGTGATCAAAACCACCATCGGAAAGAGCGCGCGCTCGTTGACGTCAGCTTTATCTGTCTGTCCTCTTATTGATGATGGAAATAACCAATCAGCGCGCGAGAAATGCGTATCGTAAGTTATTGTAAAAATATAATGAGCTTTCATGGGAAAACGTGTCTTAACGCTTTACCGTTAATAACGCCTTTCGTTAATGACCGTTAAAGCGGTTTGAAAAAGCGTTAAACGCTCTCGAAAACCGTTAGCTGTTTATGAAAAACCGTTAGGTCATTCTAGAAAAGCGTTAGCTCTTACCGTTCAAACGTTTTTGCAAAGCGTTAGCCGTTTATGTAAAACCGTTAGCAAAGCGTTAACAGTTTATGAAAAGCGTTAGCCAACCGTTAGCCGTTCATGAAAAACCGTTTGCCAACCGTTAGCCGTTTACGTAAAATCGTTAGCAAAATGACAAACCAACAGGCGTGGCAAAAATAGTTGACAGTCATGCTTTGTTACCATAAAAATCGTTTTCTAATAACTTTGATATTTATCAGCAACAAAAATGTAATAGTCCTTTTCACTTGAGCCTAAGCTTTCTTTTGATGTATTTTTTAAATTCAGAACTTATCTAGAACAGAAGTTAAGGGAAATTATTTGGGTGTATTTTCGACGAGTCAGTCTGAATGCCGGTGAATGGTGAAACTTTGGCGTCGTTTGACTTCTCGTATGTTTTCACAAAAGTCGTTTTCTAATAACTTATTTCTCAGCAACAAAAATATAATAGTCATTTTCCTTTTAACCTAAACTTTCTTTTGCGAAGTGTCTAAATGCCTGCCATCATGACACTTCAATCGACCTGTACTGTATATTCAAGGAAAACCAGGGCATCAAGCTTATCATTTATTCGTATTTTTCTCAACATTGAAAAGGAACAGCGACAAAACGATCAGTTTAGCAAACAATCGTATATTATTATTTTTTGACAAGCATTTTTTCTCGACGAATCGACAAATCAAAGATTTTTCAAAGATTTTCCCTCAAAACTTTTAATATTTCTATAGATAAGCTTAATTTATTTTAATGCTGGAGGAAATATAACATAAAGAGCATATTACAACAAATACTCGTAAATCATTAACAATTCGGTTAACCAACTATCATATGTTTTTTGTTCAAGAACAATTCAGCTTTGTTTGCCTCCTATCGCGGGTCCCATCGGYAAAACAAAGCTGAAGACTTTCATTCAATGATTTTATATCTTTCTAGAGATAATTTATTTATATATTAAATGAAATGTAAAATTACGCCAAACATTGAACTGTTTATTAAGTTGTTCGAGCTAGCCATAATTATACAAATGAGCTTAAATTTGTGTTGTTGAGAGATGATATTGTATAAAGACCT